TTTTTTTTTTTTTGGGGGTGGGGGGGTTACTACAGGAAATCCATTATCAATTTTGGACGGAATTTTCATGGCGATCAAGGATGATATAGATTGCTACCCTCATCCATCAAAGGGTATAGATGCAGAATTGACTACTCGGTCACTGACTGTAAGTTTTGCTTAACCAATAGCTGGATTTAGCTGACTACTTCTCTCTCTTGATAAAACAGGTGGAACAACATGGATGCATGAGGTTCGCCCTGTTAAAAACGACGCAGTTTGTGTATCAAGGTTACGTAGCTGCGGTGTGATTCTCGTTGGAAAAGCAAATATGCATGAATTGGGTCTCGGAACAACCGGAAAGAACCCAAATTATGGGTACGTACTGCATAACACTCACATAAGAAATGACATCAATGAACACAAAAAAAATTTAAAAAAAAACAGCCATAGTTCGTTTATAAATATGCCCAAACCACCAAAGTTCTTGTTCCCTAAACTTATCTTTTATATGTGCTACATCTACTTTTTAACAGTATATGCGTTCATAATTTTATCATTCATAGTTTTACCACTCATTTTTCTTAACATTTTTATTTTCACCACACTCAATTTTTGAACAATATTATTTTTTAGTTGTCCAACACTTACTATCATAAAGCATAGTGGGTCTTACAGTCATTCTATAAAACTTTCCTTTTAACCTAAGGATGCATGTCAATCACACAATACACCGAATGCATTCTTTTATTTAGTCCATTCCGTATTAATTCTATGATTAGCATCATCATTAAACTCACACTCTCTATGTATGATAAATCCTAAATATTTTAAGTGTTTACTCTTCGATATGTCTTGATCTTCAATTTTTACTTTCTATTGCTTTCCTACTTTGATTTCTTTTTTAACTAAAGTTACATTTCATTGATTCTATTTTTGTCCTACTATCCTAAATCTTTTTGATTCTAGAGTATCTTGTCATATTTCTAGTTTATTATTAATGGGTTCTTTTCTTTGATCAACTAATACAATATCCTCCGCAAATATCATACACCATAGGAGTTCTTCCTAAAGGTGTCTAGCTAATTCATCCATAATCAACACATAAAGATAGGCTCAAAGCAGAATCTTAATGTTAGCCTACAGTAATTGAGATCATTAGTCTCTATTGTAGTTGTTCTCGCTGAAGTCACTACATCTTCATACAAATTCTTAATCATATCAATATAACTAATAGTAACATTTTTCTTCTCTAGANTTGATATGTCTTGATCTTCAATTTTTACTTTCTATTTCTTTCCTACTTTGATTTCTTTTTTAACTAAAGTTACATTTCATAGATTCTATTTTTGTCCTACTATCCTAAATCTTTTTGATTCTAGAGTTTCTTGTCATATTTCTAGTTTATTATTAATGGGTTCTTTACTTTGATCAACTAATACAATATCCTCCGCAAATATCATACACCATAGGAGTTCTTCCTAAAGGTGTCTAGCTAATTCATCCATAATCAACACATAAAGATAGGCTCAAAGCAGAATCTTAATGTTAGCCTACAGTAATTGAGATCATTAGTCTCTATTTTCGTTGTTCTCGCTGAAGTCACTACATCTTCATACAAATTCTTAATCATATCAATATAACTAATAGTAACATTTTTCTTCTCTAGAACCCTCTATAATATATATCTCTAAGGACTCTATCATATGTTTCTCTAAATCTATAAAAATCATATGAACGTGCTTATCTTTCTCCCTATAAGTCTACATAGTCTCCAAAGAAAATACACAACATCTATTATTCATCTCCTAAACATAAATTCAAACCAACTCTTAGAATCTATTATTTCAACCCTTCATCTTTTGCTCGATCACACCCTCCCAAATTTTCATTTTATGGCACATTAGTTTAATATCTCGATAATTTGTGCAAGTTTGTACGTGTCCTCTATTCTTATATATAGGTATTAGAATACTCCTTTTCCACTCATTAAATATTTTCTTGGTTATTATAATTTTATTAGATAATTTCGTTAACCATGATAACCCAACATTTTGCAAACACTTCCAAACCTCACCGAGTATACCATTAGGTTTTAAAGTTTTTTTCTGTCTTCATTTTTCTTTAGCGCATCCTTTACCTTCGATATCCTAATCTTACAAAAAAAAAATGTATTTTCTCTAATCTACCTAAGATTTCTATTGTGCCCAATGTCTAAGCTTCATTTAATAACTTTTCAAAATAATTCTTACATTTTTCTTTAATTTCGTCATTTTGTATCAAAACCCTAGAGGCTTTACTCTTTAATACATTTAATATAATTAATACCTCTAATTTTTCTCTCAATTTAACAAGTTTATATATATATTTCTTTCCATCTTTTGTGTCTAGTTTAGAGTCAAGATCATCATGTCTTGTAGTTAGCAACTCTTACCCTCTTTTTTACTTATTTATTTGCAAGCTTGTGACTTTCAAAGTCTTTCTTCGTTTTTAATTTTTTGCCATATTTTATAGCACTCTCTTTTGGCGTTTATCACAAAAGTCAGTTTCACTTCTAACCAACCCCCAAAAACAACCGTAAATAACAACCTATAATATGAGGTTAGTGCTGATGGGCATAGTAGTCATAGTCATAGAACATCCTAATTTGCAGCAAAACATACAAGTCAATTTCACTTGCAACCAAATGAAGCCCAAAAAACAACTATAGATAACACGTGAAAAATAATAGAGGACATATTTTATATGATCTCATGCCAAGTTCAATACCATCAGTTGCCTAGGCCTACCAAATGAACAAAGGGCAAATTCCAGCACAAATAAGTAGTATTCCCATAATTACCCAAAACACATGTGACCCCTATTTCTGTTCATTTGCCATAGAACCGAAGAACAAATTGATTGTCCGTGTGTGTGGACTTGCAAATTCATGATGTTTCTCAACTCTGCTTTTTAATGGTTTCAGTCATAATTGCAAAACTTTCTTTTCCTTCACTTTCTCAGCAACATAACACTATACATTTCAGGATTCAAATTCCTGATTTCCATCCACTTTGTCAGCAACCCAATCAGAGTATAACTGAAAATCTAATCAAAACCCTCGTCATCATGAAAAATACATATGCAAACCGTAATTGATAATTCAAAAAGACACCAAATGTAGTTAAAAAGACGAATAAGATTATGGGTTTGTTTGCTAATATTAATATGACTATTAACACCAAAACAAACCCAAATCAAAAGTTTAAATCCAGAATCCCAAATACCAAGCAAACCATCCACCAAATTCCTTCAATTAAATTCAGTTCTACAAAAACACATGCATATATGTATGTATCTAACTTGTGTACAACCTTCAGCATTCCTATTAACACCACTTATATATGGTAACTTCAGAATGCAACATAATCTGACCCAAAAAAAAAAAAAAAAAGCTTAGCAGTCGATTATTAAATATTCAATGACTCACCAATAAACTTGTAATTTCATGCAATAAATCATTGGTGTTTAGTTTGCTTTCTAAGAGACCAAACTGAAGCTATGCATACGCATGCCGACCCTAACTTTTCCCACTGACAAAACTTCAAATACCTCAATTCTGAAGTATTCCACAGTCAAAATCACTTTAGAAATTTTATTTCATTCAATATGAAGACAAAAACTACGTAACTTCCAAGCATAGATGATGCAATGACGGCGAGGTGGCTATGAACAACATGTCAAAATCCTAGGCTTCAAAGCCAACCTCCTATTAGTTGAACGCCAAGCCCAATATATAGTCGGAAAATATATACAAAAGTCATTAAACGGAAATAGTCAAAACTTTATACTCATCCCTTTGTGTTTCACTTGCGGTCCACCAACTTTCTCTCCCTCTACCACCTTTTCTTTTGCATTACCAATGGAAGAAAAATGTAGACGAAATTACAAAATAGTCATTATTAAAGTTCGTTTTGGTTATGAAAATTATTTTTAGAAAGCAAGTAAAATTGAAAATTATCCCAACAAAGAGAAATGCAAGAGTTATGCACCTAAACCAAAATCCTTGATATCAATCCTTTCAAGCTTGGCTGGCTATTTCAATACGCCACTTGACTCTATATCACTAAAGAGTCATCACTCCTCAATCCAATGTACAAAATGAAATTGATGATGATGGATTTCAGCTTGGGTTGTTCATTCGAAGCCCAAAACACTCGATGGCTCCCTGATTCCATGACAACCTAGATGGCCCATTTCCAGCATGCCCACCCCGTCATAAGAAAGGGCCACTGCCCAAGAAAGGAAGTTCAATAACGTCCAGATCGGTATATGTCTGCTCGGTCATATCAAGCTCAGAGGGGTAGACTAGCCCGGGAACTAGGAGCTCGGTACGTGATAGATCCAAATTGCTCCCATCGTGCCACGTGTCCAGGGGGACAGGGGAACAATTTATGGAACTCCTACCAAACACGCACTTTTTGATAAAGAGAATATTTGTGTATATCTCGTTTTGAAGATCGTAGGCACAACATGCATCAAAGTGACAAACACCACTACAGGACAAATGAAGAGGGGATCACAAAATCAGCCAAGAGAAGGAATAACCGTAGAAAATCCTAAATAGCCACATGTATACATAGAAGACGAAAGTACTGTATAAGGGGGTTCCAAAAAATTGTATTCAAAAAATACTTTGTACAAAAGCTATAAGCCAGGAAACCCACTGTAATCTTTTTCTTCAAACAATATAAACTCCAAGAAACAAGAGTCTCTATTGTAATAGATGTAGCTTTGATCTTTCAGTTAAGGTGAACCACTTATATCTTTTTTTTTTTTTTGATCCGACATCGTCCCTTAATTCCTTTTTAATCCTAATATTCACACTACCCCCACTGGGCCTTACACAATCACTGTTCTGTACATGGGTATATTAATTTCGAGCACCATCAGAAATTAAAAAATAAAGAGAAAAGAAAGAAAGACAACAACACTAGTGAAAATTTATCTAAGCATTGTCGTAGATTATCTCCATATGAGTAGAACCCAGGGAACCCTTCTTGGTCTAAGACAACAACAAATCACCTACATACGTTGAACTCTCATCTACCCAAACTACAAAACCATTATCAAAAGACAAAACCAAATCCTAATTATCGGAGAGAATTTCAACACAACCATATCATCAAACACTTTTAGAACAAAACCTAGATCACCATTCACGTTTACAAACTAAGTAGTAACAGTTGAAATATAGCAAGGGAATACCTAGAACGACGCAACGAGAGAGAAAGCTTTGACATGTGTTGTTTGTATCCGATGTGGAGCGAAGAAAGGGGAACTGTAAGGCTATTGGTGCTTTTTCTCACGCATTGTGTCAAACACATTACTCTCGAGCCTAAAGTAGAGGTCATCTCTCTCTCTCTCTCTCTCTCTCTCTCTCTCTCTCCTTTGGCTATCCCCCCTTTTTGCATTCGTGAATATGCGTCGAACTCACAGTGAACTAGAGAAACTTGTGACGAATAGCTTAACATCTTGAGGGTTACACAAATTTGGGTTGAATGTGTGCGCAGTGTGTGTGCATGTAGAGAGAGGTTTGGTGTGGTGTGTATGGGCAGATGGGTTGTGTGCAGGATAGGGAGAAGCGAAGGGGAGGAAGGACGTAAGGGATGCGTGTGTGTTTTGGAGGGGGTGGTTTGTGGATGACGAGGGCACAATGGGTGTGTGTATGTGTGTGACGGAGGGGAAAGAGGTGGAAAAAGGGGAAAAATGAGTTGAAGGAAAAAGATGCCTTACAAAGATGCAGTGGCGTTGAGATACCGGTGGAGGCGGGCTAAGGGAGGATATAGATGGGAAAGAGAGGGGTGCAAGAGAACGTGAGGTGTGAGGGTGAACAATGTTGTGAAAAGTGAGCGTAGGCGCTCACCTAGACGAGAGGCAAGGCGAAGTGACCTCTAGATAAGCGAAGATAAAAAGAGCTTAAGCGAGCAACTTACAGAAATTTTTAATTTTTTGTCCTCCTCTCTTCTCCTTCTCTTTGGTTCTTACCCTTCTTGCACACTCACAACTAAATCAGACTGCGAAGCTCAAAGTGAGGAATGACCATATGTTCTCTTATCATTTTTCTTCTTCTGATTCACTGATTCTTCTTTTTTTGATTCTCTGATTCTTCTTCTAATTCTTTTTCTTTTGATTTTCTGAAACTCTATTTCTGGTTTTCTTTTCTTTGGTGATGCTGCTTCTGCTGAAACCCTTGGAATCCTATTTCTGTTTTTCTTTTTTTTTTTGTTGCTATGATTGTGTGATGGTTTTCTGCTTCTGCTGGAATACTATATCTATTTTTTTTTTAGCTGTGATGGTTTTGCTGCTTCTTCTCATCTGTTGGAAATATCTTCCTGTTTTTCTGTCTCTTGTTCTGTTGTGTTATGCTCATTTGCTGCTTATTAGTTTATTATTCTGTTTGATTATATTATGGAATTTTGTTATTAAGGTTCAATCTATTTCTTAGACTGCAGTGTTATGTTTCTGTCATTTGCACTGTTTTTGGGATTACTTTTTCTGTAAATGTTTATTTTTCTGCCTCCTAGTCTCCATTCATCATTTTTCTATATCTAGTATTTCATATATTGTTGTACATTGGTTTGATATGGGACAAATGTTATTTTAATCCCTTTCACTATGATAGCACAACAAGAAACCCACATGCTCCAGAAAGGTATACAGGTGGGTCTTCCTCGGGCGCAGCAGCAATTGTGGCTTCTGGACTCTGTTCAGCTGCTTTAGGAACAGACGGCGGAGGTTGTACAATTACAACTCATGAGGCTTCAGAATGATTCTCTTGTCTTCACAAAATCATCCTAATTTTATGCTTGATTAATGCAAAAAATCAGGTTCAATTCGCATTCCTTCTTCCCTCTGTGGTGTAGTGGGCTTAAAGACAACATATGGACGGACAGACATGAAAGGGTAAGCATTTGAACTATATGAGCTGTATTTGTGACGTCCCTGTTTTCGGGGGTGATTTAGTATGTTTCATGTGATTTATGTGACAAATATACACAATTTATCAAATGAATTTAACAGTTCACGTACTTCGGTTTAGACTAGACAATCAGAACATCTAACGTATTTTCAAGTAAATTTAGGTACAAATGATATGTAATTTGGGTATTTATTTAATATCATAGTATAAGTACTCAAATTGTACATTCATCCCAAAAGTAGTCCTTAATCGATACTATTAAATCTCGTCAATTTTGAAAACACACCAAAGCAATAAAACACAAATCNTCCTATTACATCTCGTCAATTTTGAAAACACACCAAAGCAATAAAACACAAATCAAAAATCTAGAATTGTTCTGAGCGTTAACATTAAATATAACATCTCATAAACCAACTGAGCACAGATATTCAAGATAGCTCTGGGATGAAACCCTTGTCTTCTCTTGGTTTAGTCAGTGCAAAATGTTAGGGTGAGTCAAAGCCTAGTAGGAAAATAACTATTGAGTGTTAATCTCATCCTACATGACATAGGCATACACGAAATTCTCATATAATATTCATGACAAGTAAATATAGCAATGTTAAGCTCATAACATGCTTAAAGCAATATATATGACGTACCAACAAATAGAAATCGTTTGATTTAGCATGTACCCAATATTACCTATTCGTGTCATTGGTCACATTAGACTTTCAATCTTAGTCTATAGTTAATTACACCAGTACATCGTTATGCACAAACTTTTAGGGAACACCGGATCCTTTGTGGGCTCTAACCTCGGGTATATCCCACCCCCTCGTCTTTAGATGCTTTCAATTAGGGCACGAGTAACCCTGCACTACGACGGATGATATGCTTGACCAAGACTTATTCTGGGTCGTTCATCCAAGGGAGGAGCAATCCCTGCTTACTTGTTCCATATTGTTTCCAAGATTATCATTTTGTGTATCGCATCATTGATTATGCATACTAACCAAGATTATCACGTGTGATACACCTTCCATCGAAATACCATTTAGTATACTCATGGTGCAATTAGAAATAAACATTTTAATATCATCCCGACATGCTAATACATATAAGAGTATGTACTACTTCAACCTTAGTATAATTATCACCATTGTGAACATGTCGTCTTTTATCATCATTTGTATGTCAACACATCTCATGTATATCACCATACTTTAGTGGTTGTTAATGTTAACTAGGATCACATCATTACTTATACAACCGATAGATACACTATTCATAACCATGAGTGTTGTATATATATATCACCTAGGAATACACTCCTAAAGAGCTAACAATTTATGATAGCTTCTTATTTTGAGCTTTAAAAAATTTCGGTGTCTTTAGATAATTTCTAAACACATGATCTAGCAATATGGTGTAATTTTATAATCTCTAAAACAATCTCATAACTATTCGGGGTCAATATACAATTTCAGAAACATTTCCTAACCATTAAAAATATTGATTTAGTGTTTTGGTAATATTTTATGATCTTCTGGAGTCATTGTGTAATTTCAACAGGTACTTATCTGTTACCCATAAATCACAAAAGGGGGATTTTTGTAACTTAATAAAACCTTGGACTTAACTTTATAATTTCAGTAAGTAGGTATATACTGTATCTAAAACTAAAGGGGGGAGTTTTTGAATTTAAGCCAACATCTCCATCTTCTTATATCGAACACCCAGTATTGCTATTCTTCATCTTTTTTTTCTTGTTTGCCATAAAATATTTCCTTCATCTTCTTCTACCTGATTTCATTTCTTAAAATTATTTTTGTTAATTTCTTTAGGAGATACAAAACCAATTTGTGAGGCCTACACATCCAAATAAGTATATAAACATATCTACATATACACCAATATATGTATAATTCCAAAATGCATAAACTAACATGTTTCCTATATATATACATAGTTCTAATCCTACCTTTTTACTAGGATTGATAGTCCCAAAAGCTTTATCACCTCAACAATGGGGAATGACCTCTCTCCCTCTCTTTGTCTCTCTCTCTTTTTGTTTATTTTTCAAGACCAAATGCTGCCCGATTACTTTCTTCTCCACTTTCATTTGGTTTGCCTGTATTTATACATTAAAGAGGAGTGGGTTTTAGTCAAAGTAGTTGGTAGGTCATAGATAAAGGGTACTAGGGTCATGGGCAGCAATGGCAGGGCAATGATGTTTCCTTGCCTTCCTATGGGCGACAATGACACAACAATGATATTTCCTGGCCTTCCTACCATGATCAATGTCAGCTAAATAGTCATGGCAGGCTGTCATATCTGATAATACTATTCATCATCATTTTTTTTTGTAATTCATTCAATTTTGTTTAACTTAAGCTAATTTGACCTCGATACTGTTGGCCTTAGATTAGGCTTGAATATTGATTAATTAAACAAACAAGAGACAAACAGGGAATACATGAAAAGTTCTGAAATTAGATTTTTTCACTCCATCTCTTCTAGAAAAGTCTCTTACAAACTTTATATAGACACTCCATATATTCTAGGAAAGTCTCTAACAAGCTTTACCTAGACACGCCTAAACAATTCTAGAGTTTTCTATATTTGAGTCTAATTAAATACAACAAAACATGACCCAAACACACAATAACATTTTATGATCCTTCTCTTACGTATGATGGCATTGTTGTGTGACACCCAACATTTCTCGAAAGTATTGAAACTTGTCCTTCAGAAGTGCTTTGGTGAAGATGTCCACCACTTGATCCTCCGTCTTACAATATTTGAGTTGAATTTCGTCATCCTCCACGGCCTATCGGATAAAGTGGTGCTTGATTGCAATGTGCTTGGTTTGGCTATGGTTATCACACAAAATTGGAGTAGGCTCTCCTTGCTTCTCACCAACATCTTTCAAGATTCTTATTAACCATATTGCTTGTGATGTCGCCAATGATACCAAAACATATTCGGCCTTGGCGGATGATTATGCTACCATTTGTTGCTTCTTAGATGTCCATGAAAAGACACCTAAGCCAAGAGAAAATGCATAGCCGGAATTGCTCTTCATATCATCCACACACTCGGCCCAATCATTATCGCAAAATCCAATCAACTTTGCATCTACAGTTTTTTCAAACAAAATTCCATAATCAAGGGTACCTTGGATGTGTCTCAAAACTCTTTTTGCTGCCCCAAAATGAGTTTGGCTTGGACTATGCATAAACCAAGATAATAAATTTGTAGCAAACATAATGTTTGGCTTTGTAGCCGTCAAATATAACAAACTTCCAACCAAACTTCTATAAAGAGAAACATCAACAACTTTACTTCCCTCTTCTTTTGTCAACTTTTCATTTACCACCAAAGTTGTAGCAACCGACTTGCAATTTACCATTTTAAATTTTTCAAGGAGAGTTTTTGCATACTTCATTTGGGAAATAAAAACACCATCTTCATTTTGAAAAACTTCAAATCCCAAGAAGTAATGCGACAAACCCAAATCACTCATCTCATATTTTTTTCATTATGTCTCTTTTAAATTTTTCAAGCATCTTTTCATCATTTCTGATAAAAACAAGATCATCAACATAAAGAGAAACAATAAGAATACCAGTGTTACCTTATTTTTTGGCGTACAAGGTTAGGTCGCTTTTACTCCTTTAAAAGCCTTTATTGTTGAAGTAGGAATTGATCTCGCTATACCATGCTCGGGGTGCTTGTTTCAATTCATATAATGCCTTCTTCAACTTGTAAACTTTATTTTCTTTTCCTTTGACAACAAAGTCTTGAGGTTGATCCACATACACCTCTTCCTCCAGTCTACATTTAAAAATGCAGACTTCACATCAAGTTGGTACAAGAACCATCCCTTTTGAGCCGTCAAAGCAATAAATGCTCTAATTGTGTCAAGTTGAGCTACTAGTCCAAATGTTTCTTGATAATCAACACCCAGTTGTTGTGAATACCCTTTTATAACAAACCTTGCTTTATTCTTTTGAATTGACCCATCCAGATTAAGCTTTATTTTGTAAATCCACTTCACACCAATCACTTCTTTTTCTTTGGGTCTCTCCACCAACTCCCACGTCTTGTTCTTTTCAATCACCCCGAATCTCCTCTTCCATTGCTTTCTTCCAAACTTCTAGTTTAATTGCTTCTTCAAAGTTTTCCGGTTCAACACACAAAGGTTGCATTTTGCANTGAACACACAAAAGTTGCATTTTGCATACACATTACTAAGACTTCTCTTTTTTCTTGGAGTTGAACTTGGAGATGAAGAACTTAAGCTTGATGGAGTTGATTGTGGACTAGCAATTGAAGACATTTGATTTGGAACATCAAGGTCCTCATCATCACTTTCTTCACTCCCCACCTCTTTATAAGTAGCAGAAAATTAATTTTGCACCTTTTTTTTCTTTCCAATCCCAAGAGGTTTTTTCATCAAAGTTAACGTTTCTTGAAATGATCAACTTATCTTTTTTTCAAATTGTAGAGTCTATAGCCTTTTGACTGAGTACTATATAGCCCACAAAAATACAGTTTTCACTAATTTCATCAAGTTTATATCTATTTTCTTTGGGAACGTGTGCATAACAAACACACTCAAACACTTTCAAGTGATTAACCGAGGGGCCTTCTTTTGCTCCAAGTTTTAAATGGAGTTTTGTTTGAAAGGGCTTTTGTTGGACATCTATTCAACAAGTAAATTGCCGTGTTAACGGCCTCACCCCAAAAAGTTTTAGGCAAACCCTTTCATAAAGCATTGATTTAGACATTTCTTCAATTGTTCTATTTTTTCTCTCCGTCACTCCATTTTGTTGTAGAGTGTACCCAACTGTCAATTATCTT